ACACTTAATAGACTTACTAGAAAGTGTCATGGCCGTGCAGGTGAACTTACTGTCCCCATGAAATGCTGTTATAAAAGCTGCAACATGATGTGTCCATGTCTTTCTATTGGCCAAATGTTGCATATAAATTTATTAACTTGAGTTAGACTCAGAGATGTAACTCTTGTCCTTGGTATTGTAAAAATGTATCAATAGTCTGTTTAGTGTTTAAATCCGAACAATGTGGTTATTCAAAGGGCAATGATATAGAATATTTATCCTAAATATTGGTTTGTTTTTTGTTCGCCATTATTTTCAATAATTACTTCCATTTATACAGTGCATTTCACCAAAAAATAAACACCTCAAAGCACTTTCCAAAATATGCTGCTTAGAATGAAAGTGAATGTTATATAGGTGAATGCAACAGCTAATTTATGTCAGCATATTCCATAAACAACAAACAAACGAACAGCCAATTAGATTGAATTATGTAATAATAATAATAATAATCCTTGCGTTTGATATAGGGCCTTTCACATAAGGGGGAAGTCTCGAAGCGCTTCACAGAAATTGCTGTAAAGGGTAATGACTATTTTGTAGATGAATGCAGCAGACAATTTATATACAGACAGTCACGCAATGAATCACCAATTTTATTTGGGGGTTTGTTGGCCAGGACACCAGTGAAAACTTCTCTTTTCAAATAGTGCCATGGGTCTTTAGCGTGCACTCAACATGCAGATGAGACCTCAGTTTAACTTCTCTTCTCTAGCCAACTGAGGCAGACTGACACTGTTTGATATATATATATATTGACCAAATGAACACACAGTAGATTTTCTTCTAAATTCAAAGTATGAAACCATGAATAAACAGATGCACTGCCACATATAAGGGTCTGCTGAAGCCAAGACTATAACATGAAAAAGAAATTGGATACATGTTTGAACAGCACCAATGTGAAAATGTTTGGCAAGATGAGGGTATTGGTATTGGAATATCAAGCTCCAGTGGGGGAACTTGCACCTGCAGACTTGCAGGGAAATTGGGATTACAGAGGTGCTACAAATTCAGATTCACCTTGCGCTCCTGTTTCTGGTCTACATTGATAACTGGTGAAAATAAATGATTGAGGAACCACTCTGTTTACAAAAACACTTTTCCAGTAAAGAATGAATTGTAGCCATGGCCTTGTCTGTTTTGAAATCCTGCCAAATGTATTTTAAGCAATTATGGTTTAGGAATTCATTAGCACAAATTCTCCATTCGCTGGGAATAAAATGCTGAATATGATTAGCTGTTGCATAAAAAAATTAGATTTTTGCCCACTAAAGTTGCAAAGCATCGTATTGGGAGGAAACGTGGAAATTTAAATTTTTTTTTAAATGACCTCAATTTCTAGACAGCTGCAGTCAATTCCCAAGTTGCAAAAATGTCTTGAGTGTATAATTGTAGTGTAGATCAGTGCTTTAACATTTAACACTGCTTTTAACATTTATTAAATATACACTTGATCACTTTTGTAGTACAGTATTTGGGTAGGTAGCTTCCAAAATAATGTGTGTATTTCCTTAACAACTGCCTCTCTCCATCAGACATGTCATGACCTCTGTATAACTATATCTCATAGCATGTACAACTGTCTGTGGACAACATAATTTGGATTTGAAGATCTGGTCAGATAGAAAAAAATATTTGTTGCGCAAATCTGTAATTTGTGTGGGTAGCAAACTTTACATTTTAGTTGGTTCAGCCTGCACCTAACACTCTCCAGAATTAGATAAGCAGGGAGAAAGTGCCCATTCCGATACATGTGAATTTTCATGTGTGGGTGGGATGTGTGGAACTTTGGTTTGGATATTCTTGAACGTGGTGTTGGCTTTCTGCATGTGTCAGACAATTGGCTGACCCCAAAAATTGTGTGGATGGAAATATTGATTTAAAAAAAGTTAATTAACCAATATCTCCTTGAACATTGGATTGTTTTTGAACTTTTCATTGCGGCTTCAGAATGCAAGAGTTTATCCTTCCTGGAATACTATGCATCCTCCATCTATAAAATTGTGAGGTACAGCCTTTCTTATTTTACATATACTGTATGTTTTCTATGATCTTGCAGCATAGTGAACTGACCCACTAGTTTTTGTGTGTTCATTTTTCTTCCTTGTACAATACCAAATCTTGTTGCTCACATTTTTTTTAATTCAAATGAATCACGTCTCTTTGTTGTTTGCATTTATTCAGCTTTCCCGAATAAGCTTCAATTTTTCTTTAGCAATTCTGAGCAAGGCATTAATTAACTCATTAGTTACTACAGTTTTTCTATGCTGAATAACTGCTATACCAATTTCTATATTGTTACCAACTCCTTGTAAAAGTTCAGATTTTGTATTGAAGTGTTTTGGATACAGTTGAAGCTTGCTTAGCAGAATGGGTTGAGGAACACAATTCCAAATGTTTCTAAGTAGTCAAGAGAAATATAGAATTATATTTACTTTTTTGGTGAAATTTCCTGTAAGTTTACAAATCTTCATGGCCCATCTCTTTGGAAGTATAGTATTTATGAAAAAATGTTTGAATTGCTCGAAGAGTTAAATAATGTCTTGCATCAATTGGTAGGAGTGACTGAATCTGATATTACAATAATAATACAGTAATACAATATTTCAATCAATGAACATCCAATATCTATTTTTGTGACACTAAAATGCTACTGTAATGGTAATCAACAGAATATTATCTGTTCATTTAATAATTAATTGGAAATGTTAATTATATATATCCTTGCATTTGATATAGCGCTTTTCACGTTTTCTAGACGTCTCAAAGCACTTCACAGAATATGCTGTAAAGTGAATTGATTGTATATTTGTGGGTGAAACGCGGCAGCCAATTATGCACAGCAGTGTCCCACAAACAGTAGTGGATTGAAAATGACCAATTTATTATTGTTTTGGAGGGATTATTATTAGGCGTGTGGAGTAAGGAAACTTGCCCAAGTTTCGCCCTCTGCCTGGAATTGAACCCAGGTGTCTCGCTTGCAAGGCAAGTGCTCTAACCACTGAGCTACAGGACTGCATCAATTGAAACTGCATCATGAAAAAGTTTTTATTTTTAGGTTGAATCTAGAAGATTTTCACTATGTGATGGTGATGTAATTTTACTTAACAGCTTGCAGTTGCATTAATTGCTTGGCAATTGCAAATGTCATTACTTTTGCAGTTTAAAAACTTCCAAAAATTTAACACAGTGGGATGCAGCATGTTGGTGCACTTGTCGTTTGGGATAGGACATGGGTTCTATCCTGAGATTTCCAAACATATTTTATTCTTCGCCCTAAACCAAGCCATTGAGTGTGGCGGGAAGTACTGGTGTGCAATTTCTTCAGATTGAGAAGAAAACTAACTAAGGCTGTTGTACGCCACCTATCAGTTGCTGCAAGAGCAAAACTGAGCTGGCGAGGGATTGCTTGACTTGGGGATGAGCAGTTAAGGGAGAGAATTCTAGGAGAAGAAAAATGATTTTAAGCAAATGTAACTTTTCGCATTCTTTGATGTAACCATGCTCAAAGCAGCTGTTCAGAAAATAAGATTAAATTATGGATTCACTTTCTCCAGAATTCATTTTAATAGATTTGGAAACTTGTCTAATTCTGTTCAATCATTTTCACTCTGGGTACACTGAGCAATATAAATGAAACATTCCAGCATTCATGTTGAACTCTTGTATAAATCTGCATTAATAGGTTCTAACAGCTAATAATCTTAGCACCTCCAACATCTCAAAGTGCTTTACATGTAATCACTGTCAATGGAGTAGGATACAGGCAATGTGGTAGCCAATTTGTGCACATCACTATCTCACAAGTAACCATGGAGGATTATTGGCGAGGACACTAAGAGAAGCTTTAATAAAGGGCATCAATTTCTCCAGTAGAGGGGAAAGGAGTAGAACTTTTACTATAGGCTGGAGTATAAGCCTCGATGCAAGTTTGATGTGGGTTTCAACCAATACCACACAGAGGCAAGAATGCTACCAATTGAGCAAAGCTAAACTCTATCCAGTTTATTATTTCAATGTATATTTAAAGATCTTTGCACAGGGCACACCAAGTAATTTTATGGTACCTCAAACGTTTGGATACTGTTAAGCATGGTGATGAACGTTTGGATACTGTTAAGCATGACGGTGGGTTTCTACATGTGTCAAGACACATGGTTGAACAAGAAAAAGTGATGATGGGGAATTGAGTTTGTGGATTTCAAGAATATTGTAAGGCGCTTTTGTACTTTTTGTCATTCCTACGTGAAAGATGCTATGTAAAATATTGTGAACTGCTTGCAGTAATCGAAGTATATATCCATGCCCTTTGAGGCTTCAGTTATTTGTTTAATTATTGGGATGACAGTTGTGTAAATAACTGGGATTATTACTATTATTTGTTTTGAAAATAGCAACTTCAAGTGTATTTGTTGGGATAGACCGCATTATATAAAACAGGAAGTAGAATCTTGCATTATGCAACTTTTTAAGTTTGATTTGTTTAATTGAGGTCTTCATTTTAAGTACCCTTCTTAGTTACCTACAAAATATACAGCCACTACACTTTACAATAAATCTTATAAAATACTTTGACACATCCTCTCGAAATTAAAGGCTTTGTATCATTTGAGGATTTTTATTATTGCATGATGTGATTTCTTTAAATAGAACATTATACTGTATATACCTAAATCCAATGAATTAAAATTAGATGTATGTAATTTGGCATGGCTTATGATGGATTTACCAATATTACAATTGTATAACCATCAATTTGGCCTTTACGCTAAAAAGATTTGAAAGTTCATGTGGAGCATGACATGCTAATCCATCAGCAGTACCATTTTTGTTATGAAATTATCATTTGGTGGTAACAAAGAAGGCAAGATATATATATGTATAATTTTGTGAATATACAGTGTTCTTTAATTGTTGGTCAGTTGTTTCTGACTAATTGTAATTTTTTTTATTTCCAGGTGAAATGAATATTGCTCGGTGAATGTGAACAAGCCACTCTTTTGAATCTTGGATTTGGCTTCTGAAACCGCGTTTTTCATTGGCGTAGGGCCACTGTGTGGCAGTCCTCATACTAATACAGGAGTTCACAAGGATTTTGGATCTCCTGCGGAGGAGGCAGCAGCTGCTGTACAATCTGACTTGATTTCACACAGTCAAAATGGTGTTGTCACAGAGACAAAGAGACGAACTGTAAGTAATGTAGGAAAACAAAATTTTAGCTTTGATTTTTTATCCAGAAAAATTTATATTTAAGATTTTGCATTATGAATGTATGTCATTTTTGTAGCTAAGATTTATCTTATACACTATAATCTGGTGGCTAAAGGAAGCAGAACTGTGTAAAGTACACAGAATTAAGAAATATGGATTTCATGTCATAAAAGTTCACTGAGATGACAATAAGTCAGAGAACATCATGGGACACTAACAGAAGAAAAATCTATGAAGCAGCACCTCAAATATTTCATCTAATTTTGGTCACTGGTGCAGAGAACAATAACTAGAATCAGTGGAGCTAGATCACTGGTATGAAGGTAGACTAAGGGAGCTAGGATTACTCTTTGGAATAAGATTGAAAACCGACATGGGATTTTCAAAAAATAGAATTAGATTTTGTACTTTACTATTGACAAAATTTGCATTTGAGGACAAAACGTGATAGGCAAAATAAATTCAAAGCTAAACCAGAATTAAGATACAAATCATTGTAGAAGTGATTGTTTTTGGAATAACATGCCACTTCATCAAATGGAGTCTACATAGTGTCTTGTCAAATGTTGTTGCACGAGGAATAATTGGGAGTTTGTTCTGTGCATTAAGATGGAGGACTGAGCTATGGCATTGTTGCAAATCTTGGTAATTAATCAACCTTCTGCTGGAATTTGTTGTTTAACGTAAAATGTGTTTGAATTCAAACATTTTTGTTTTGAAAGAGCAGCTTTCCGTTGAAACTACCCTAAAGAGGACTTGAAATAGCACCATCTTCTTGAAGCTTTGATCATAAACAAAGATTTGTTGATTTTAATTTGCATTGTTCTGTTAATCAGTTATAATGCATTAAAGTTGCTGGTGTGTAGATGCAAGTTGTTGGTGGAAATGGAAGGGGTGCATCTTATGTTTTAAAACAATGAAAATGATGTCTAGTATACAATTTAATTGTTTTACCATCATTGGTTAACAGTACAATAGGAGGGGAAATAAGCAAAACAGCAGTAACTTGAAAAGATCTGTAATTGCCATCTCATGAAAGTTCTAATCTAAGAATGTAGTGAAGGAATTGGTAATTGATGGGAAGCTCCGTAGTGTATTGTTGCTGCTTTCATCTAAATCTGGGAAAAGTTCTTTATTAAAATCTATACAGAGTAATTATTCATAGTTTGAGGCAAGGGAAATTTCACTCCCTTTGTTTTTGGTTCCTCAATTCAAGTAATTGCTTACTTCCAGAAAGAAATGCACTTTCCAGCACACTTCGATAATGTGTTTTCAGAAATTGTAACATCTGCAGTACATCACTATATTGGCTGAGATAACCTAACTCAGGATGGTGCAACCTTTTGACTGTCAAAGGCCAATTTCCCTTTTTGCAAAAGTTTTGCGGGCCGGCTAAACAATATTTCATATTTCCCTTCCAGAAACACAACAGCATTTACACAGCAACCTTTTCATGTTGAAAGGACATCTCTAAGCACTCAACACTTGTCACTTGGGCACCTGAGCTGGGGGTTGGAGCTGAGAGAGGTGGGATGGGGAGGGGAACAGATGACCGAAAGTGAGGTCAAAGAGTTAGGTCTTGTAGAAGGGAGGGAGCGAGTCAGATGGACTCCGTAGAGGAGGGGGCAAAATGGGGGGTGGGGACATGAAGCAAGCTCTGCAAAGGGAACAGCCAGGTCGGGAGGTCATAGTGGGGAGGAGGGGAAGCGGGGGTTGGAATGAAGGACACCTCTCACACACCTCCTCCCTCTCAATCACTCTCTCACACACTCTCTCAATTAACTCTCTCAATTCCCCTCTCTCCCCCACACATTCTCTATTCCCTCTCACACACTCTGTTTCTTTCTCTCCCTCTCACATTCACTCTCTCCCCTCTCCTTCACATTCTCTCTCTCTCTCTCTCTCTCTCTCTCTCTCAATCTTCCCCTCTCACTCACACTATCACACATACACTCTGCCAATCACTCTCTCTCCCCCACCCACTCTCTGTTTCCCTTTTTGCTCTTCTCCCCCCCCTCTGTCAATCGCTCTCCCTCTCTTTCTCTCCCTCTTTCACACAGTCTCTCTCTCACTCCCCCTTTCTCACCTCTCACACATATGCCAGCTGGATCATGCTGACCTAACTCATTTTAGATGTTTTTGGTATTTCATGTATATTTAATCATAGATCATATTTGTCAATTGTCTTGATTTATCCAAAAGACGCTCATAAAATTATACATCTTTCTGGTTATTCTACTTTTTTACATTTGTGATGGCTTATTTTTACCCAAAGGAATCATCTGTTTCAATACACAGTACATTTTATTTATACAATATACTAAAAATGTGTACTTGTGTCCATATCAAGCTGTTGGACAATCATTTTTCTAAAATGTATACCAACTTAATAAGAATACAATTGGTCACTCAATCCGTGACTGTTTGTCGTCAGTTCACTTTACAATATGTTACAATTAATAACAGAATATACTGTAAAGTGAATTGACTGTATAATTTGTGGGCGAAATGTACTGTGAAGCGCTTTGAGATGGCTTGAATATGTGATAAGGCACTATATCAAATGCAAGGAATATTATTATCTGTTTGCTCGTTAGTTAGAATGAGTAAAGTTTGTACCTGTGTTGAAGCATTTTAGAAAGCATATCAAACATAGTTAATTATTCACAGAGAAGTGGTTTTTGAACATTGATGATTATGATTGAATGAGTGATTGAGTTCTGACAGTTTTTTTCTAGATTTGTCTTGATTGCTACAATGAATAGGGAGCGTCTGGAGGAACACTTAAGTGGTTGAAGTCAGTTGACTTGAACAATGATGTAGGCTGCTCTGAGTCAGGACTTTGGAATTTTATTGTGTTACTGTGTATTTTCAGGGCAGACTTTCTGCCACAAACATTGAGCCTCAGTAAAACTGTATCAATTTATATGCATCAATGGTAGGTCAAATTGTTATTGATTAAGATCTATCAAAATAGTACTACTATGTTTGACTTAATGGGGCAAGGTAATAAAAAAATTTTGTAAAAGAATTAAATTCAACATCAGGATGAATAGTCGTTTTCTGCCTTTTTTAAGAAAAATATTATTTGACCTTTTATAAATGAAGCTGGAATTTTAATTACAGTGCAAAAGCTCATTAAAAGAATCCTTCAAAATGATTCAAAGAAATTTGATCTGAGTGCTGCATTTTCATGATGTGTAATGTTCACACTATGGAATATTATGCCTTGAAGAAATAATTAAATACTCATTTTGTACATGGTCTTTCACAGTGTATATGTCAGTTTTATAGAATGGATAGCCAGAAACCGTTTTTGGCTCAATGTGATTGGTGCAACGTCTTCCATCCTCCAAAATCACTTATAGATAGAGCCTATCGAAATGTCGTAGGATTTATAGAATTTTAACCCCGATGCCGTGGATTTTTACAACAAGTGCTTGCTTGTTAAAGATTTATTTTAGTTATGGGTAAATGATTTGATATTCCTTTTTTCTTTCAACTCACACTGCTGCTTTTCAGGTGTTAATGGGGCTGTATGATGGCTGCCTTAAGTGACTATTCCCTGTGGAAAGGAGGCAATGTTTGCTCAGCACAGTGCAGTGTAAATTAAAACATCAGCACATGGAATGCTCTGGATGCAAAGGATTGTAATTTTTGTTCAGCAAATGGTATCTACCTTTCCCAACTGCACTGGCAATTCCTGCATGGAGCTAGCAAAGGAACCATCAGAAGAGAGTGAAGGTTTAGACCAACTGAAAACAGATGCTTTTTTTTAAAACACTTGCATGATACTATTAGATTCTATTAATATACTGTAGAGGGACACATGAATGCTAAAAGTGAATATAAAGTGGTGTGGTGAAAGTGGATCAAACTAATCTAGAAAAAATAAAGGATTTTTGAAGTACAATTGCTTAAGTATAATTCTTATTATGAATGGTATCCTACCCCATGGACCATAAAGGTTGACTGGTTAGCTATATCTAACGAGGTATGACTTGTTTTCACTATTGTGACAGTCTTACTTTTGTATTGGGTGTATTTTGTCGGTGTTCTTTGCTATCTGGTTGGCTCAAGAACCTGGATGACATTATTATTCCCCCACTGTATTTGTGGATATAATAATAATAATCCTTGCATTTGACATAGCGCTTTTAAAGGCTAGAATAAGTCATGATAGTTCAGTCTGCTTACTTTTAATCGGAAGTTCTTTCTTGTTCATGAGCTAAGAAGAATATAGTCTTAAACACTTTGGACATTTGAAGCATGGAACCTGATAAATTTTAATTATGATATAATCATCATTTATTATATTATAAATTGTTATTCCTAGAGTCTCTTTTCAATGGTTCAGTTGTCACACGTTAAGGTCACTTAAGTGAGGGATCACAGTTTGACCGGTGTCTGTGAAATTCTACCACATCGGGCCAGTTTGTTGTGAATTATTTCTTGAAATAAGACAAGTGATAGGAAGTGGTGTAGTTTTGCTCTCTGCGTTTTTTTTTACCAACCTCAAGAAACCGCCATCGTGGCTGCATCAGCTTTTGTTAATGGTATGAATTATTCCTGGCCAAGCTTTTTCCCATTCTAGTTTTAGTCAAACGTGTAAATGAGAACAAACATATGAAAAACAGATTGGGAAGGGGGAAATCCAGAGATAAGCCTCCATTCATCAAAATGACCAAATGCTTTGTCTGAGCTTTGTGAGCTCATGTCATTCTCGTGGATAAGGGCTGGATGGATATAGGTGTCTGAGTTGATGTTTGTTCTATAGAATCTAAATGCGCTAATTCCTTAATTATCCAATCTGTTGTTGCCCATGTTGAATTAATTCTCTCACTACTTACATTAACCACCCCACTAACATTTTTTGCCTATCATCTTGTTCACTTGAATACTTTATTGAGATTTTGAGCTTTCAATTTTTCAGTATTTAAAACGCAGTAAAGATCCAGAAATTGGAAGCATTACCATAT